AATAGTTTTAACAAAAGACTAAATATTATGGGATATCTAGTATCTTCACTGCCCAAAGAGCTCAGCCATTGCTGCTGAGGAGACAGAACTCTATCTCTTACAATTTCACCCAGAAGATTTCCCACCAGTGACATTTGAATTTAATTCGGAGAGAGAGAGAGAGTGCAGGGTCTAAGTTAAAGTTGGAATGTCTTCTGCAGCATACACTCTCTGATTCAGTCTGTGATAAGATGGATGTATTTAGAATGAGACTCAACAATCAACTATCTTTCTTGGCTCTGATTGGTTGGTTTTGTGCATATGTGGTGGATAAGAGGGTATCTCCCATCAAAATAATAAAAGTGAAGTATTGTGGGATCATGGGAGTTGTTGTCTTCACTACCATTGTTGTCATTGCAGTCAGCTTCTCTCAGTTAGGATTCCTTCAGTGTTCAACGTTCAGGAGGTTTCTACCGGAAGCCCAATTATTCTCAGAGGTCTCCTCTACACTGTTGGACCAACCAAGGACGTCCTGGAGGGGCTGTGAGCTAAGCTGCTGCTAACGTTAGCTTAACTTGTTTCTCTGACAAATTAAGATCCAGACATCTGATGACTAAATCCTTCATCCGGTTCAAATCCACCAAGATCTAAACAGTGGATGGTAAAAATGTGGCTTCAAACTCGATAGAAAGTCAGTTTATAACAGCTTCTGGCAGACGCTGTGCATGTATTAGTAATTATGGCTCAACACAGAATCCCAGTTTAGACTAGATGTTACCCAGTCAGTTATCATTTATTATCATCATAATTTTTGTTTGCATTCAGTATTTATCAATAAAGCATGTTGTGTGTATCTATACCGCCTAACAAACATGTTCAATGCATTTCCTGGACCACTGGCAGAACCTGTTAGAAATGTTTTAAAGCTGCAGTAGGTAAAAATAACTTTTTATCATATTTGCTGGAATTTTTACTGTGTCCTGACAGTAGTACACGAGAAAAAAAATCTGGTTCCTGTGGCTCGTTCTAGTGCTCCTAATGGTATTTGCAAGAATCCACCGGGCCTGAATGAAAACCAATCAGAGACGAGAAATATATAAAGACACTTTGGGTTGGTGGCTATTAGATAGTTGATTGTTGTATCTCATCCCCAGGGTCCCAAAGTGTCTTTATTTGACACCCTGGGAATGAGACTCAGCAATCAACTATCTTTCTTGGCTCTGATTGGTTGTTTTCATTCAGGTCCAATGGATTTTTGCAAATGGCATTAGGAGCACTAGAACACTGTGTTCAGAATGTTATTTCTCCTTTTCTATTGCTGCATATACTGCATACTGCCACAAATCACACTGCCCCATGTTCTGGGTATCTTCTTTTGCATGTGATATATCCAATCTGGGCACAAAATTAAGTCTCTGCAGCACCAAAAACTCCACAGAGTACCTTTTAATGTGGATTGCTGCAGTATCCTGATTCCATAAAGCCGAGGTGTGGTCATGTCTTGACGTCATGAGAGTGGTCTCATCTCCTTTGTTTAACCAGCTGTTTTTGAGCAGTATTCGCTTTCATACCTCCCACCCCCTAAAAAACACACTGGTGTTTAAGTTAATTCATTGTATACAATGTTTTTTGTATTAATATTAACAAAGGTCAGGTTATATAGAAAGAGACAGGGTTTCAGTGACATGTGAACCTCCATTGTGACCCACTGTAAAACTAGATACATCTTCTATACAAATATGCCTTAAATATTCAGGATTTAACAAGGTCATTGACAAATGGTGCGCAGATCAGTGAAGAATAGATACGTGTTCTCAGTCACTATCACTTACTGTGGTTTGTAACATAATCCATGGTTGCTTTTTAAAGGAAATCTTTTTTGCAGAAAATATTCAGGGATTTGGGGGTAAAAAGGTAAAATATGATCGAAATTGTAGATTATGAGAGTGCATGTGAAGGTTGACAGTCCAATTATGTAAAGTAACAATAATTGACCAAACAGATTATTTTATATTGATATTCAAATGTCCAAAATGAATTGGTTTTAAGCAAAAACTTAACATATAATGACCAAATTATATGGAACGGCAGCTTCACCCTCAAAACTCTTCACATTCTTTAATGTCCAACTTTGTGTATAACATTTGCAATCACATTTACAACTAATTTAGTTTTGCCTTCATAAACTCAGTAGAACACAATGTATTACATTTTCTTCATAGATTTGTAGTAGTACATATGTGTCAGCTCATACAATATCTCCCATGGCTCTAGATCATTTTGTTACCCTCAGAACGAACTAGTGGTTCCCCTTTTTATGCTTTTTAAAGCCAAAGCGCACCAGTGCTAACATTTGAGATTTTCATCATATAATGCCCATTTCTGCTACAACAAGCAAAGCATGTCCATGTGCAAACCTTCTCGTTCCTCACTTTGCTTTTCAAGTTAGTCTATGCAGTACATTTCGAGCACAGCTACAACCATAAGACCACTAAACCACACATGCACATGCTACATAAGAACAAAACACATTAAGAGTAATATTATGCTGACCTTAGTTCTATGCCACAGGTCTTGTAGGAAAGGTTACTGCATACCAATTTGCCTAACAGTTAAGCTTGGGCATCTGCTCCAGTTTAAAAGTGTCTGAGCCTTCTGTAGAAGACAGCAGCCGCAGCCAGAATCACAATGACAGCCAGAGTGAGGATGCCCACGGCTATCCCAAGACCCATCCTGGAGCCCGAGTCCGAGTCACTGCTGGAGGCAGCTGCTAACACAACCAGAGAGCAAACATGTTCATCACACCTTCACTCACACAGCAAATGGTGGTCTCACTAATTAATAATGAATTTTACTGCCATACAGATTTGATCTGCCATATTACATAGTATTTAGATGGAACAAAGTCAAACAATTGTATTCCTTTAAGAATTAAGTAAACAGTATCATACCTTCCTCCTTAGCTGTCAGTGCTGAAAGGAAAAAGTTGAAAGGAAAAGAAAAAAATCTATTAGTATTTGAAAGGGGCATTTCTGGAACAAAAACTGGACTTTAAGTCAGAGTCTGAGGTAAGCTTACTATTGTGTGTTGAGAGCTAGTAAGTTATAACCTTGTGGGGCAGCTGGACTACTGACAGCTAAAACATGAGCTGCAGACGTGGTTTAACGCTAAGTGTGTGAACAGTGACTGCTCGAAAACAACAAAAGCTAGGGGTTAGGGGCTAGGGGGCTAGGCTAAGAGGTTAGTCTAGATGCAGCTGAAGAGCAATGGTGGTGAAGACATTAAGATGTCATCAAACTCCTGTTATTCTTTTGTTATAGTTTTGATGTTGATGTTGATGTTGAAGTTTAGGTAAGTTATACTGTAAATTGCTTTTGGAAAACCACAAAGGTTATTATGCCTTTGTTCAAAGTACAGTGTTACTGAACAACCATACTTACAATTCTCATTTTTGGTGATAATTGGGACTGCTGAAGATAGGGTGGTGGTCCCTGAAACACCAGTGGAATCAACATCCCTTTTCCTCCTCTTGTTACATTGCTGTAGATGAAGCAAGAAGAAATGTAAACAATAACTGAATCACATCTAGTATTAAGGGGAGAAACGGGCTAAATGTGTTTTTGCATTAATGATCCTTTACTGACCTTAAAAGCATCACAGGTGCTGATCTCGCAGAGTCTGGTGATACAGTGCAGGTAGTAGGTGGACACCGTCTGGTTCTGCTGTTCAAGAAACCTGAAGGCTGAGAAGGAGAAGCGGGCGTGGTGACTGTTCCCGTTCTCGTGCATGGTGGTCATCTGGTCTTTGGAGCACCTGTTTGATTGATCAAGAAGAAAACAGCGTTGGCCTACTGTGGACCTATGATTCTCTTCAGAATGAGATTTGAGGACTTACGAGACAAACAGGTTGAAGAAAGTGGAGTTTGTGGGATAGGGAGAGATGGAAGCGTAGCATCGGTCCATGAGGACATGGTACCTGGTTGGGGAAGAACAAGGTGAGCATCAGAGGTGCTTTATACTTTTTTTATCCTGATAAGACATTTAATACCATCCACTTCATTTGTGTTCATAACCCAGAGCTTCAAGAATGTGTTTACATTCGTGATCCCTCTTGTCCACAAGACTATGTGTTCTTACTGATCAGTTAGGTTGGCTGCTCGGACCTGGACATAGACGTCGGTCCTCAGCTCTAAACCCAGTGGTGGTATGACCAGAGGAGTGGTGTAGTTGATGTCCTGTCAACAGAAATGTACAATTGGTTAGCTGTAAATGCTGATCATTGTCCAGAGTTTACACAGTCCATTTGGGGGGCCTGTTTGCCCTGGTTTTTATGGTGTTATTTCAATGCAGAGTTAGGTTGATTTGATTAGAAGTAGGGTTACGGTTAGTGAGTTGAATTTTTCTGAATTTAATAGTACATATGAGCCAGAAAAAAAACAACACATTGACTTTTGGGCTTTTTGTAGTAGATTCCATAATAAAATATTTGAATAAATGTTACTTTATTTAATGTCTACAAAACACTCTAGAAAGTGTGGACAAGAAATACAACTCCCTAAATGTTGACATAACCAGTTACACTGTAAATAGAACACGACAATAGCCAGCACCTCACCAAAAAAAAAAAACCTCAGTCTCAACTTACACTGAAGAGTTCCATGCTCAAAGTACTGATGAAGCTTCCATTGTTGTCCCTCACTGCAATGGAAGATGCTGACCTGAATGGGGCAAGGGGTGATGTCAGAAAGGAGTTGCTGGATGAGACATGTCTGACTGCATCCTATATGTTACTATACACCAGGAAATGATTTCCACCAACAGAAGACAATGTACTACTTTTACAGTCTGAAAGTGCACTCTTATTTTCTCAGAGTGATCAGGACAGATGTACATCCCCACAGTACTACATACTGGGTTACAATTGTTTTAAAGACCACAGTGACATATAAAACGATAGATACATACAGTTTGGCTTGTTAATGTTTTTATGCTGAACTCTCTCAAAAGCAGCTAAATACAAAGCTCAGATTTTAATTATATGCATGTTTAAAATGTTTTTTTTAACAGAGAAAAAAGTATAAAGAAATTATACTTAAAATGATTTGTCTGCGGCTACTATATGCTTCCTTGTGTATGTGTATTCCTTGTGTTCTTAATTGTGTTGTAATCTAATTTCTTTTGCTACATGAATCTGTGGATTGCATATTTCCCATATCGTACAACCAGGGATTGAACCAAACTAGGAAAAAAGGCATCCATGACTTTGCCTGACATAACATAACATGACAATATTTTTAGAAAAACTAATTATCCCTTTACAAAGCATAGCTACCATACAATACTTACCATCAGAATTATTAATGAAACTGTCAATTTCCCTGTACAACAACATGTCCAGGGTATGTACAGTAAATCAATCAAAAAGTAAAAGTTCTTACACTTCCACCTGGGTGTTGTTGATGAGGTACTCCAGAGGGTAAGCACAGGAATAGTAATATTTTAGTTCAGCGTTATAGGTGACTATCCCTGTGGTTGGGTCATGTGAGCGCACCACGCCACTGACATTAACCGTCTGGATGTTAGAGAAGTCGGCAAAGATCCCTGTGCCAGCTGCACTGGTGGTCTGGAGGCAACATTATGGTAAAGTCAAGCACAGAGAAGAGAAAAAAAGCTTTGAGAATTATGGATTCTCTCCACCAAGCTCTACTAACCAGGAAGTTGCTGCCACAAGCATTAGTCATGTTGAGGGGGAAGGTGAACCTGACAACAGGCGGGGTGGAGGATTCATCTACGGTTCCTTTGCACTCCGGCTTGTCAAATATGCGGTTGAGAATGAGCAGAGACGCGTTGTAGCCAGTGTAGACAACAGGGCAGATTTGGATAGCCAGGCTAATGGAGGACGTGCCACATTCAACTGAGATGTCAGTGTATTCTAGAAAAGAGGGAAAGACACCCTTATTCTCCAACTCTCATAACTCTTAGTAATTCACATACTAATTTCATGTCTAGAAGGAAAGAAACATAAAAACTGCTTTCCCTTAGAAGATACTAAAATAATAAGCTTTACACAAACCATGGGTGAGAATATGAATTCCTTTTTCAGGAAATGCAAAGACAAAAAGCTGAAGCAGGCATATTGTACCTGGACGTCGGAGTTCATTTTGGCACGTTAACTGGCTGCTCTCGACCACCATGGATGCCAAGAGGAAAAAGCTAAGAAGGTTCATTTTTTCCTTCCTTATTATGGACATACCTGCAAAATCAAAAGATAATGATAAATCAGAAGCTCTTGAAGTGTCTGTAGATGTTCTTGTTGTTGGCTTACCCATTTCAAGTGTCCCCCTTCGCTGCTTGTCTACTGCTTCGTTCAATGTATGTTGACAGTTTATATTCTTAAATAGCTGTCACCCTTTCTTAGGATTGGACAGAAACGAGGTCAACGTAGCTTGGTATGTCCACCCTAAGTTTACCATATAACAATTCATTCAGTACAGGGAGTTCCATGGATCATACCTTAAGGGTGAAACCCTACATAGTGAGAGTCTTTATGAGGGACAATGGCCTAGCTCTTTTTCTTTAAAATAGGCTACAGATCCCCTTAGAATGTTAAGATGAGACTTCATGAAGTAAGTGTTAAATCCCCAGGGATAATACACAATACTTTGATACCCTTTTTAGGTGAGCGTCAATGTACTGACAATAACAGCAATATCCTCTATCATGACCCAAAGAGCATCCTGTGGGATAGTCCTGGGTCCCAGAGGACGTTGTGGGGTACTGCACTTGGGTGCTGTGTTTTCAGTGATTGGATGAATCTCTATGGACATATGAACAATACCATTAGCTGTCAAGTTAGAATAACACTTAACTTGTTAAAAAGTTTGAAGGTACAGGGGAGAAAACTGGATGAACAAAAAGGCAATCCAAGGCACTCCAAAAATAGCAATGAGGAAGGAATATACAGTATTAAAGAGCCTTTATTTAAGGGCTGAATCGCCAACATGTCTGGACTGCTGTAGGTCGAGACATGTTGGCTTGACCTAAAAGATCATAAATGCTTTTTACTATATTCCTTCTGTTACTTTTTTTTTTTTGGAGTGCATGGAGATGAGGAGTTTGTTCATCATCATCATTCAATGTGTTGGAAGGAAAATAGTGTGCCAAAAGTATTTGGGGTTCTCTAATTAATTTAGGTTTATTAACCTTCATGAAAACTGATGTTGGAACGAAAAAAGAATGAATGTTGCTCAATGTCACCACTGTTACAAAACTGCTATGGACAGCCTTTTGTTTAGCTATATATTGAGGCCATATTTATAGTCTGGAGCTCTGTTTATGTCGCCAGGTCATTGTTTGCTTTTCCAAGCAGTCATACTACCTTTTAACAAGGGCTCTGTTCGTAGTGGTGCAGTGCATATCAGAGGAAACAAATTAATTTAGCTTCACAGAAGCTGTTAATTCCTGCATCCTGACATGAGGCAGTAGTGTGATCTAAAACTGCAAAATTCTACTCTTATAAATCAGTTCCAGTTTTACCTTCTTTCCATGGAGAAGAAAATTTTCTTCAGTGTGGTGGTGCTTGGGCTGTCACCTTACTTAGAGAGGCTCACTGACACAAGGGTGCAAAAAGCTGGAATACCTGGCTGTCTAGGTGCTTACAAAGCTCACAAATCTGCCACTGAATTCAGTCAGCTAAGCCAGACAGGAGAGACAGTCATGCTGTATTTTTGGATCTTGCAGATGCATTCATCTCTGCAATATCTGTAGCTGGAGCACCGAGAATCTTGTTAGAGCATATTTCCAAGATCAAATGTGTGTGTTTTACAATAATGGATTTTACTGCTGCCTGGCAACATCTTCAAATAGGAATTATGGCAGGATGCACAATTTGTCCTCTGGTTTTACAACGACAGTGGAGGTGGGGTGACTGCCAGTGCACCTGTGTGATAATGGGGCAAAGATAGCAGGGATTATGTTCATAATGTAATGCATGAATAATGAATAATGGTTTACTTTGTTTTTTGAGCTGTATTAAGACTCTGGATGCTTGTCTGAGATGTGTAGTCATAATTGTCAGATTCACCACAGCCATCTGCTACTGCTGCTTCTACTTTGAGTAAGTAAGAATTAGCTTTCTAGGAATGAGAACTGAACAATATGTCAGTGTCACTGGAATTCTAGGAGACAACTTTGATACAGTGGGTGTACACTACATGTTGCAGCTTCATGGCTTCAAGATTTAATTGACAGTGGCGGACAAAATCCACACTGATAACAGCAAGGGGATTATTGAAGTAATCCAAGGTTTCTCTTATCAGAAAAGCTATGGGCTGCAGAGAAAACATCAACACCAAACCTGGGATGATGATTTTTGGGGACACAAGTGATGAGCTATAAACCATTGCATAAACTCCTTTTGCTGCTTTTCATAGCCACTCTTTTCCTTTAGCTTTTAAGTTGTGCAGCTCTGAAGCTTTCTACAGCTTGTAATGAAAAATGTTTTATGGTTTAGCATAGTTAATCAACACAGCTTAAAGGACAATTCCGGCGCGCAAAATGAAACTGGGTTAATAAAAACACTTATTTACCGAGTTGGTCTGTTTGTCTGGGATATGTTTTCATTCTAATGCACGCTGACCAGTTTTAGCACAGACCGCGAATTACCGTTAAAAGCTAGTTCCAAACGGGCATGAGTA